AAGCCTAGAGCGCCCCCACGAGGAAGGGAAAAATAAATCTCCATTGGCCAGAACTCCAGTCTCAGGCTACAAATGTGAGGCCCAGTGTGAATGTTTCTCCAGGTAACTGGCTATTGGGTTGATGCGGGGTGAAGGAAAAGGCCTTTTGACACTGTGTTGGGCACACATGGAGCAAACAGAAATCAGAACACACGAACGGCGAGTTCACACAAACCGTTATATCCTTTAATAATGCGAAGGTGTAAACTTCATAAAGGCCTCACTGATTATCTACACAACATGGTTAACATTCTTATTAGTAGAAAAAAACGTGATCCAAACCTGCTGTATAAATATTCCAAAAGTGAGCAGAGAGCCCCCACGGGCGGGTTGCGTGTGGGGGTGGTACTGATGCAGGGCACAGAGGCAGGAGGCTGAGGAGGCTCTCTGAGAGTTCCTCTCCTAAGGACTCCTGGCGGGACCTCAAGAGTCTGGTGTGCTCAGGTGGGCGTGGACACTGTCTGCCAAGGGGTGGACCACTGTAAGCTACAAGCAAAAGGTCTGAATGGATTGGTTGCAACGACCCTCCACAAATGCACTGCTCTGCTGTGCTGGTGGGAAAAGGCCCAGGCTTCAGAGGAGAGGTTTCTGCCTATTTGAGCTGTTGAGCAGCATGGATGCTCTCTCTATAACTGAACCCTGGATCTATCACCAGCAGGTACCAAGAGGTGGCTGAGGGCTGCGGCATCAGGGTGGTGTCTAGATCTCTCATGTAGGAATAGATCTTCAAAGGTCCTTTTAGAAATAGTAACACTGTGGATGGACCTGGGATCAGGCTGAGGTAGAAGCCTGGGCTGCTTCCCATAGGATGATGAAGGCAAGTGGCTTCTAACCAATCGGAATGGCCAGGAGATGATGAGGGCCTCTCCTGCCTTCACGACCGTTTTCCTTAAGTCATCTATAATTCTCACTCCAGGTTTCTGTTCTCTACAGCTTTACCCTGTATCTAAGAACTATTTCTGGAAGAGGCCCAGGGCTCCATTGCTGAGGTTCCGGCCTGGGCAGATGGCACTGTCTGCCTGAGCTAGTGAGCAGTATGGAGTCTCTATACTGACTGCTGGAGGCACCAGCGGATGCCAACAGGTGGTCTTTGACCAGAGAACCACAGTGTGGGGTTATTTCAAGGCTAGTTTTGAAGGCTAATTTTTGAACATTAAAGAAAAAAAAAGCAACAGAAAAAAATATACAAAAAGAACCTAAAGAGAATGTAAATCCAACTTTTGTGGAAATGGTCAGAGAAGAGACAGGTAGAATGACAGGTGACTGCAGTGCGGGAGATTTTATCCCATCGAAGGTCCATCCCATGACCGGGCAGGACCCAGCCCTGCGTTTCCTTCCCCAATAGCAGACAGGGGTACTTAGCTTTTCACGAGACTTTGAGACGTATCATCAAACCAAGACACCAATAGGGAAGGCAAGCTAGGGCACGGTGGAAGTGGCCACAGTCTCCACCTGAATTTATTGATACGGTGGCTTTGAGCACTCTGGTAGGGGCCCCGACCTTCCGCGGGTACAGCTGCGAGCATGTTTGGGGAAAGTAGAAACCTCTCGTCTCATTCACAGTGGGTGCCTCCAACCTGTCCTACATACTACGCTTATAGCCACGGTGCAGGTCATGGCTGGTCAACAACCCCAGGAACCCAGAGACTCTCCCCTTACCCATTGGTGTGACAAGCTTCTGGGAAGCAGTGGAGTCACACATCTGGGAAATAAACACCTTTCAAAGCTGACATGTGTGGGACATATAACGGCTTTGCCCTGTTCACAGAGGTGATAGAACTGGCATTCTAGAACATTCATCAGTCCCCCCCCAGACTTTATCTAACAGTATCCAATTGTTTGTCCCCCAGTGCATGGGCCACAGGGGCATTCGATTGGCCCATCCGATCAGCAGAGTGCTTAATGGATCACCACATCTAGGTCTTCCAACATGGGTAAGCAAAATCAGTTACTTCCTGGGGGTGGAGGAGAGGTAATGGGTTAGAATGAGATGGGCTGTGTTGATCTCAATAATCTGAGACAAACTTTCCAAGGCCTTAGAATTCTCCTTCTGCTCTATTTTAGATATGAACCAAAAAATGCAGTAAGTAGCAGATATGTAAAAACTTCTCTGTAAACCTAGTATGATGCTTTAAAAAAAAGTAATAAAGAAAGAGTGCTGAGATTCTTCTCTCTCTCTCTCTCTTTTTTTTGCTGCTGTTGTTAACTGCTCTGAAAAAGGGGCAGACTCCTTATCAAGTGGCACAGGAGGGTTTGTGAAGGGCAGAAATGTCAGGAGGTAAAGCTTTTTCCCAATGCAAAACTTTCCTCTTCCACACTGAACGCTGCTTGCTCAGAGGCTATGGCCAAGCTACAGTGGCTCTGACAAGGTTCTTCCAAAGAGGGGGGAGGGGTACCGGTCATTTCCATAGGATCTGGGGGGGCTTTGAAGCAAACGGAATCCTCCCGTTCAAGTTCCTAACAGAGCAAAAGAAGAGTCACTGCGGAGAAAAGCAAGGAGACAAACGTGTAGGACGCAGAGGTGCATCCCAAAGTGGCTGCATTGTCAAGCAATGGGGTGTGGGGGGGGTCCCCACAGAGAGTGTAGTTGGTTGAAAAATAGACGTGGCAGTGGGGATGTCCCAAGTGACGTCCAAGATGACAGGTATGACGACAGACACAGGAAGGGGTCAGGGTCGGGGAGAAGAAAAGAGAAGGCAGAGACAGAAACAGAGGAAAAAAAATAGATAAAAAGAAAAAAAAAATTAGGTCCAATATAGAAAACACAAGAATCCAAGGTTAATGCAACTTAGTAAATTAAACCAACCAAAGATTAGAGGAGAACTCATTGCAGTATCAACATTATCATAGGCCAGGTCAGAAGCTCAGCAATGCCAAAAGCAGCATAGCGGGGTTAATTTGGGGGTTAAAGGGCCAGCGAGCAAATGAAGTTAAAGTGACAGAACAAGAACCTCCACAGTAGAATGCTAAGGGTTTGATTAGGAGAATGTTACCTTCTTCTAAGGTCAAGCCTCTTAGGTGCAGTCAATGAGTGTAGTTCTTCTAGCGTCTAGTGGGTTTTTGGCTGGCAGTATTGGTAGAGATGCAGTGGGTGATTCAACTGTGTGTAGCCCTGTGCCCGGCCCAGGGTGGCCTCTGCAGACCACATCTGATCTTCTTTCCTACTACGCCCCTCCCTCAGCCCCCATCATGCTTTGCATGAAGCCTGCCCACTTCTACCACTCTGCTCACCACAGACTCCAAGCACAGTGCACATCTTGTAATGCAAACCAAGTTTTCTCCAGTCCCAGTACAAGGGTCAGGAAGGCCCAGCCAAGCACGGGAAAAGACATCAAACTCTTAACACCTGCGCCCTACGTCATGAAGCCCTCACAAAGTTGAACAGCCCCCAGCCTTCTCTGGCTTACGTGGGAGCTTGGGTGTTTCCCAAGGATGCAGGAAGACCAGGTCTTCCTCTTCTTTTTAGCTCTGACACCCAAACTCTAGAAGTTCACATTTGCTGGCAGTACCCAGCCTGGGAACCCGGCTTACCCAAAGACTTGCTCATCCATTATCACCCCAGGGAACAACTGTGACAAACTGCTCACACCAGCCTCACCCTGCCATATCTCCTACGTGGCCCTAAGGCAAGATGGATTTGACATACTCATTGTCCTGTCCATTTCACAGCAAAACACACCAGAGCACCCAAAGAAAGAAGGGGAAGAAGAAAACCAGGGCCACCTCTCTTCAGACTTCCTTTTAATCCAGGGAGAGAACCATTTCGGGCGATCACCTCCAGGTTACCTTGCCTTTAGACACGCCCACCCCATCATACACTAAGGGGCCTTAACCACAACGCATTGGATACTTCTATAGTTTCAAACTCACCTGCCAACTTGCTGGTGCTGGCGGCCCCCACACGTCTCCCAGCCATTCACACACAAACAATCATCGAGAGTCATACACTGGTCTCTCTCTTTGTGACAGAGACCTTTCTTGGCCTGTCTCCCTGCCCCCTCCCCGCCCCCTTGCCCCAGGAAGAGCAATTGTGTCAATTGACCAAGAGGTTGGCAAGCTCTATACACACAGCAGGCATGATGGGAGCTGTTCAGGGCTATCTTCCTATACCTTTGGCCTTGGCAGACTATATGGGCCCACATCTATGCCCACATCGCCTGTCTACAGTTGGTATTCAGCTGGCCTGGAGAAAGCACAGGCATGGCAGAAGAGCTCTGTCTTCTTGGAGGGGATCTGGCCAATGAGGACATGTGTCCACTGTACAAGGACAGGGCATATTGGACCAGAAATCAGGACTCTCACTTTAGTCTCGAGTGAACTCAAGTCAGCTCTGATTCCCTAGAGACAGATATGTCACCTGCCAGGACAAATGCTGACACCACAGTCTAACAGACTTCCACTGATGGCGTTTTTCTAGATGCTAGCTAGTCTACCTGTTCATTTCAAGAGGTTCAATTTATTCTCTGTTTTTCATGTCTGTCACTCACTGGACACTGTCTCTTCCTTCTCTTGGGGTTACCAAAGAGAAGAGAGTTGGACCATGGCTGTGCAGTTAAAGCAAGCATCAGATAGGAGGCATATGAAAAAAAGATACTAGGTCCTGGTATGGGATGCAGCTAGCAGATAAAGTCTCATTAGGCTCCTTCCTCAACCTGTGTTTGAGGCAAGGCATTTTCCATCTAAGGAGGCTTATAAACTGGTTAGCATTCAGCCGTTCACGGCTGAATGAGACAGGACCCTCTCCCCAGGATGCTTGGCTTAGCTCTCCTGGGGCCGGTCAAGCACATCTCAACCCACTGCACAGAGAGCTACAAGGCAAAACTAAGCTTGGCATGGGCAACCAGTCATGAGGACGGCTGTAAGCAAGCGATTGTCAGGGCTGTTCAGGCGCATTAGGAGTGCAGCACGTGTGCATTAATTCAAAGCAGGACACTACAGAAAGCAGAGGGAGCGAGGTGTACCTGGGATGGCCGTGGGCTGTGCCGAGGTCCTGAACACAAAGTGAGCCGCCTTGGATTTTCCTTGCTGGTTCTCGGCCACCACATAGACTTCATACTCAGCATTCCATTCGAGGGCCTTGAGCATGATGTGATCACTGCCAGAGGGGAGCCGGATCTCTGGTTTCCATTCGGAGGAGAGCTTCTGGGAAAAATTGGCAGGAAGGACAGAAGACACCAGAGAGCTTTAATAAACAATCTTGGCAGGATTGGCTACTACGAGAGTAAAAAATAATGACTGGTGTTAGGGCTGGGATGGTAGCTCATGCCTATAATCCTAATGACTTGGGAGGCAGAGATCAGGAAGGCTAGGAGGGCAGCCTGAGCCAATATAGGCTCCATTTCTACCAACATGCTGGGAATGGTGGTATGCTAGGCTTGCAGCTAGGATGATCATGGTTCAGGTAGGCCCACGAGGAAAACACAGGACCCTATCTGAAAAATAGCCTAAAGCAAAACAAAAAAATAGAGGCCTGGAAAATAGGTTTCAAGTGATATAATTCCTGTGTAGGAACACCAAGGCTCTGAGTATTGCTAAGCAGGAGGAAAAAAAGAGCAAATAAAACACGCAAAACAACCCCAAACCGAAACAAATAATGATGCAAAAACCACAAAATCAGGAAGCAAGTACAGGGCCTGGGAATTCATTTTTACTGAGCCTGAGAAGTCTTAAGGATCACACAGATCAGGAGGCGAGGTTTGCCATGTTCGTAAAGGATTGCATTCTGGGATGCACTAGGATTTCCTAGAAGACTCATGTTTCTGGTCATATTTCACAATGCTGCCCCCATTCCGGTGTGTACCTCACCTTTGGACAGGTGAATGCTGCGTAGATTCCAGTTTTACCACAAATAGGCACTGTCATTTATTGAGCACCTACAGCGTGTCAGGCGCTTGCCCTGTGGAAGTCTGTCCCCACACATTTTCTCACTGAGCCCCGGCCACAAGTCTAGAGGGGGCGGTGAAGCTCCTATTAAACTTGATGGCGGGGATGTAACGGCCAGGCTGGGTGGCTTTCCAAAGTCACCTCACAAGTCAAGAGCACAGCCTGAAGCTGTCTTCTTCACTTTCTGTAGCAAGTGCTCAGCAAATGTATACAAATATTCCATGACATGCGGTCTGGTGGCTACAGCCTGCAGCTGGACAGATGAGGCTTTGCTGTCAGACTCAACCCTGTGGGATGTTCAGAAGGCCCAGAGGAGTGCCTCATTCAGCCAAGCAAGCACTGCCCAGGGCAGAATGAGAGGCACAAAGCTAGAGTTCTGGGAGCCCCCTTTCTTCTCATCCTATGCTCTTTCCAGTTATAGCCTACACATATGTCAGGAAGTCTGTACTGAAGGGGAGATTACAAAGCTGTTGCTAGGCAACTGCATCTCAATTAAAGAAGTGGGAGAAGACTCAGACTTCCCAAGGAGTCTTCAGATAGTTTCACAACTGCATAGCTCACACACAGCTGTACAATCTGACTCTCTCTCTCTCTCTGCTTGTTTTGGGGCTTAAACTGAGGTACATGCATTCCTGCTTAGCTTGCTTGCTCAAGGCTGGTGCTTTACCATTCAAACCATACCTCCATGTTGGCTTTTCTTTTGTCAGCTATGGAGCTTGAACTCAGAGCATGGGCACTGTCCCTGAGCTCTTTTGCACAAGGCTAGCATGCTACCAACTTTGAGGCACAGCACCACTTCTGGTTTCCTGTTGGTTGATTGGAGATAAGAGCCTCATGGATGTTCCTGCCCTGGCTGGTTTTGAACTGTGATCCTCAGATCTCAGCTTTCTGTGTAGGATTACAGGCAGGTGTGAGCCACTGGTGGCCAGCTTAGCTTGTTTTTTTTTTTTTTAATTGATTAATAGAGATGGAATTTCACAGACTTTGCTGCCCAGTTTGGCTCTTGATCTTGACCCTCTAGATCTCAGAGTCTTTGGTAGGTAGGATTACTGTGGCATGCCACGTGGGTTCCTGGCTCCCTCTGACTTTTTCAGAAATGATATGCCCAAGGTACATGCTGGGCAAGAAAGAGGTCTGACAAATATTTACTAAATAACATGCTGCTCCATGGAAGACTAGGAAGTGGCTCAGCAATCACCCTGGGCCCTGGGCCCTGGGCTGAGGCTGGATGAACAGTTACCTTACAGCAAAGGGGCCCTATCAGTGCAAGATAATTAGTTAAAAACTTCAAAATGGGCCTTAGGGATGTGAGTGCGCATGCTGACGGGGGAAATGCGGGCAAGACAATTGTGGTTTCCTAAAATCTAAAACAAAAATAAGGTTGTGTATAATCACTACAAAGCCCTGTTTGAATTTGAACTAAGAAATTGAGCTGCCTGTCTTTGCTCTTCTTTCTGTCTTCCCAAGCAAACATCGTTACAGAAGAGACAACCAGACAATAAAGCAAGCACTCAATAAAGTAAGCATTCTGTTGTATCATACATATTAATATATGATAATAGTTAGCAAACATTAAGCGTTGAAGTGAAAGAGAGAAAAGTCTAAGTTGTTGGGATTATTATTCCCCCCATTGTCTTTTTTTTTAGCGCAGCCGCTGTAAGCCATTCAGGCGATCTGACAGAGGAGATATTTCCAGCTGGAGCTGGCATCTTTACAGTAATTAGTTTCCATTTATAGAGGCTCCCGAGTGTCAGGTACATTTCAGGTTCCTTGCAAATATTAAAACGAGTCTTTAGAGCAACTTGGTGAGTTATTCTATCCCCATTTTACAGATGGGGAAATGGAGGTCTGCAGGTATGGTCTATTGAGGTGTAGATGCTGGAACTGGTTGGTTATAAGACCCAGGCTCTTCTAACCGGGCCACATTAGCCTAATAATGGCCAGAGGCATTTCGCTCTCTCATTCCTCTGATTCCAGCAAGGCCTGGATGCAAGGCCACCTGCCCAGTCCTGCATCCTTCCCTGTCTTTCAGTGATACCTCTGAGCTAGGCCTCAGGGAACTCAGCTGATGCTTTCCCTCTTAAACCAGCTGACTTAGAGATAAAATGAGAATACCAACTGGGTTGGCTGAGAACCTACCTGTACGTATACCTTAGACTCTATAAGGATTCTGTGCTGGACCACTTTTTGCAGAAGCGCCATCAGTTAAAAAACTACATGTCACTTCCAGAGGGGTAGACAGGGAGGGAATAAGCCAACTTGCAGACAATAAACAAACAATAACAACCCCCCCCAATTTATTTGGGTTTGATGAAGAAGGCAAAAACTTCTCTCTAGCTCATTATCTTCTAGGGGTAAGAAGCCCCAGCAACAAGATTATCTGCAATGGACAGACACTGTTTCTAAATCTCCCAGTAACAACTGGCTTGCGGTTGTGGATGTCCAAGTATCATGCTAAAACGAAAACAAAAAAAAAACAATGGAGAAAGGGGTTCTATTGGGAGGTTGAGGCAGAGAGCTGGGTAGAAGGGAGGAAAGCAACTGGAAGGATAGGCGTAGAGCCAAGCTCAATGCCAGCACAAGTAGACTGGTTGAAGTAGAGAGACAAAATACAAGCGAGGAAACAGATGCTGTATTAAAATTTGAAGACTGCTTGGGCAGGGAAAGAGCTCAGGCTCTTCAGTCAAGCCTGGATTCAAGTTCAGGCTCACCCCACTGAGTGGAGACTGCCAATCACTGATTACCATAGTTGCTTCATCTATCGAATGGCGTTAATGATAAGACCCCCCCCATGGGGGTCTTTGTATAAAGAAGAAGCCTTCAGACAGAGCCTTCCCTGCAAGCTACACTTGATCAAAATGAGCAGTTATTCAATAGTTGTGTGACATTTTCACAAAAGTACTTGATCATGGACAAATGGCTGTGTAGAAAGGTTCAAGCAGAAGGCAAGCCAATCATGGTGTGGGTTTGGTACCACCTCACTTTGAAAAGTTTTTCAAGGGCAGGGGGAGGAGTTGGGGAGGGAAGGGATGCTAGGGGATAAACAAAGGAGGAGGTAACAATGCTCGATAGGAAATGTACTCATTACCTTACTCATGTAAGTGTAACCCTTCTGCACAGTATTTTTACAATAAAAACATATACAAATAAAAAAAGTTTTCAACCAGTTTGCCTCATTTGTAACAATTAGTATATGTGTTGGATAGTTCTAGCAGGGGACCACAATAGCTATGCATATATGGCCATATAAAATGATGCTAATTGAACTGAAATAAGAAATAACCAAACAAGTAGTTTACAAATGGTCTCAGCGTGGACATAGTTGAACAGCTACAGGTTAGTTTTGGGATTCAAAATCCTGCCCAAGGCCCCCATATTGCCTGTAAGACACACATCAGGTGTTAGTGCGAGGGCGGGTCTGGAGAAGGAGGCCACTTACCGCTCGGTACTTGACGAGGTAGTGCCTGATGGGAGAGCCACCATCGTCCTGCTTGATCAGGTTCACCTTTATGGAGTTCCCGTCCTCGCCCATCTGCCCTTCGAGCTTTGGTGCACTGGGTTCCCCTGAAACAGCCAGCAGACTCAACGTGACATTTGGGAATAGAATGAAGATGGGGTGCAGTGATGGGGTGGGGGCTTCTCTTTCAGAAATTCACATGGTTTAACCAAAAATAAAGCAGTAAGCATGAAATGCTGAACTCCACCTAGCTGCCTTAGTCTTATCTTCTCCCTCTTAGCATCACCCCTTTTTCTGGTTAGAAAAGGCTTGCTCTCTCTTCTTCACTGGTACTTGTGTTTTCTTTCAGCTGCTCTCAAACTACAGATTTGATTTTTAGAACTCTGACATAGCCTTCCCTACAGCCTAACGTATGAGGAAAATATTCTAAGTGTTTGAGTGTAAAGCCTACATCCAGGAAATTATTATTATTATTATTAATTATTTTCCTTAAAATATCATTTTTCCCTGAATCTATCATTCACTTCTAAGGCCCTAGGGCCCAACCCAATAGGAATGAATGATACTGCTTTCTTCCAACTAGCTTTGCCATGAATTAAGTTTTACTGCTTAGATAATAAAAATAAGTTTCCAGTGGTGGTTAAATAAAGCACAACTTGCCACAGGCAAGTTTCCTATGAACACACTGCATTTATGGCTCAACTGAGTGAGTGAGTGGTAATCCATGATACTTGGATTTATTAAAGCCATGATCATCAGAGTTCTTATTCTTTGTGAGAGGAGAGGGAACAAATGGCTTGGGCATGGCTCAACAGAAATCAGTTGAGGTTGCTCTTTATTTGTGGTATATACTTGCTTAGGCTTTAGCATTGTGAGATCCAAGCTGGGGAAGGAGGATGAACTGGTACTGGACAAATTAACCGAGGCTGGGCTGGTTCTTCGGTCAGACACTGGTTTAATTTAAGAGACACTCTGCTATCAGTATGTGTAGAAAGCAATGAAGTAGGAGACTATCTGATAGCAAGAGTTAAAATTAACTTGGCATGTGGGAAGCCTGGATTTCCTGGAAGAGGCCACCTCTGCTCATTTACTTCCGGTTCTCAAAACACTCAAGGAGGGTAGAGGACAATGAACTTCTGGGTGGTCACCATGGTGTGTGCTCTGGAAAACAGAACCCCAGATGGGTGACGGGAGAGCCAGGAAGAAGCTGGCCATCTATCCACTGGCCTAATCACTCCATTCCACAACCCAGCCATGGACGATGTAAAGGCCTGGGTGCCCTATAGAGTTACCTTGGGATCCTCTTCCTGTGACACAAGCAGAACAAGAGAGAGGGAGCTAATGGAGCTCTACTCCTAAGCCCCTAGCACCGGCCACATTCATAGAGCACCTGGAGTTGGTTAGAAACACAGATAACGAGTTATCTGCGTGAACATTTAGTTTTAAGAAATAGTGGCAACAGGAACATATAAAAGCTGAATCAGGGAGGACCTGCTGAAGGGATTCAGGAAAAGCCATGTTTCTGATCTGTTTTCTACAACCTGTCATCAAAGGAAAATAAAAACAGAATATAGAGACAAGGTGAAGACTTGGCCTGTTTGGTTAAGCCTCTATCTAGCTACTGATCCCAAGTGTTCTATGGTAAATATTCAGGCTTTTGGTTTAGACATGTCAACATCTGGAGGCTTTTCAAAATCCTCTGGACTCTTCTGAGTCTTGGACAGTGATTCAGTTACATCAGCTGAGCTATGAATGTCCAGTGAGAAAACAAAAGTCCAAGTGCAGTTTATTGTAGAGTAAGGCAGGAACTCTGGGTGTGTGCAGCAATGCCAAGCAAGTGGAAGGAGAAGCCACAGTGGAGCTGGGTAAATTCTATTTTCAGACTGACTTAGGGCCAACAACTCATCCCAGCCAAAAGCATCACCGCAAGTTCAACATCCTGTGACATCTTCCTTAGTCCCAGGTAAAATTGGACAAGGGTGGCCCTAAGATGGATGAAAAGGGACATTAGTCATGGTGGACATTAGTCATGGTAACCTTCTGCCCTGAGAATCCCAGTGTACTTTGGATGGTCTACCTGCCGTAGGAAGGGAAGGATGGGGTTTACCAGGCAGTGCTGGTGGCCTTTCCAACATCCCCACCAGCCAAGGACCACATCCAAGAATGGGAGACTCCAGAGATGTGCCTGCAGCTGCTGCTCTACTGTACCGTCTTTACTGCTTAAATCACTACCCCAAAATGCCCGAATTCCTCTGAATTCTGCAGCGTGGGAGGTATGTTGTAAAGCGGGAGTACTGGATTAGACGATATGCAAGAACCCCTTCCGGCCCCATTGTCATGGGCCACAGCAATGTGGCTTCACTAGACTGAGCTGGCAGTGGTATCCTGGCTATTTTCTCTGACATCACAGAAGACCGAACACACACAACAGGTATGTGACCTTCGGCCAATGTTAGGGAGATGCATCCTTTCTCTAAGGCACAAAGTCATCAACTTTTTGCTTTCTAATTTTAACAACATTTCTCTAAAAAAGAGTTCTATCTTTGAAATAAGACTTTTAAGTCTCTTTAAAGACATAGGAACAAAAATCTCTCTGGAAAATCCCTATAGGCCCAACAGCCCTGAGGAAGATACTCTCTCATCTTTGGATTTGGTTTAGAAAAATTAGAATTGGAAGTACACACACACACACACACACACACACATACACACACACACATCACCCTAAAAACTGTACTATAGTTCTATAAACTTACCGTATTGAGAACATTATAATTTGTTATTTCAGCTGAGAGAATACCATATTACTCTGACAAGTATTCTTTTCTCATAGAATTTAGAGCATTTTATATCATACATACTATACAGGCAAACCACTTAAGAGTATGTGGTCTATGATTTAGTCCACAAAAAGTATATTGTGTGTTTACTAGATATTAGGCACTCTGTCACAAGCCTCAGAAATAAATAAGACATGCTTTCGCTAGACAAATGATAAAACTGAACTAGGACCATTTAAAAAATACTGAGGCCTTGAGACAGGAAAAAAAATAACCTTTCTTATGATGGTGTTCCTACAGGAATACCATTTTCAACTAACATCACAGAGATTTTTGATCAACTTTCTAGCTCTGTAATTTGCTACACATATATTCTAAGATTCAGCAAGCGTAGTTTTTCAACCATTTGTTTCTCTCTTCCTTCCACAGTCTGCTGCTTGCTCTTATAAATAGGACTATAAATAAGGTTAAGAATCTTTCCTAAGCTTCCTGTATCAAGCCATGCCTGACAAACGAGGGACCATGGGAGAAGCAATGGGACCTGGGTATTCAAGAGGCTCATTGCTTAATTGAACACATTAGTAGAGAAAATTATTTATAGGGTCCCGAGGTTCTAAGATGGCTGTTAGGATTGAAATCATTATGGGTAATTTCAGCAAAACCAATATTGTAATTATTTGTAAATTCTGGTCTGCCATAGAGAATCTCAGGGTTCTGGGGTGGCAGCTGGGATTGAAATCATTATGGGTAATTTCAGCAAAACCAATATTGTAATTATTTGTAAATTCTGGTTTGCAATTCAGCAGCAATAGGCAGGTTGCCACAAGAAGACCCCTGGGGTTAATCATATCCTTTGAGTTTTGCTTCAATTATGACTCAGTATTCCCCTCCACCCCAAATATTTTCTGTGAAGATGAAAGCAGCAATACCTCAAAAATAGTCCTTGCCAATCAACAAATATGGAAGACTTGGCAGTTTGTGTATTTTCTAGTACCATGTAACTCATGAGTGAAAGGGGGGAGAAAGAATACATACATAGGCAAACCCTATTAATTCCTTTGTAGGAATGTATTAATTGAAATGCACATTTCAAACAATACAGATTATAAGAGTCTTCATTTGTAATGTTTGGGCTTTTGTGACCTTAAATCTAAGTCTGTTTCATGCCCTTCCTCTCATCAGCTAGAGACACAGAGTTGTAAAATACTATAGAATAGATGAATCCCACAACAACAACAACAACAAAAATGATAGCAAGTCCAGGGTTGTGGGAAGTATTTATGGACCCGCTGTGTTTCACTCAAAACAGCCAAAGCACTAATGGTGAGCTGAATATTTTGCATGAAATTCCAAGGTGCCAAGCAGCCTGGTCTGAAAACATTTCCATCTTTTTGCTCATCTCCTCTTTCTTCTCTCCTATAGGGATCTATGCAAAGTTCGGGTGTAAACCAGTGATGGATGCAGGGCTTGGATGAAAAATCTATTTTTCACTACCAAATAGCAGTGTGAGGCATTAAAATAGTGATCATTTCATTTATCCTAACTCCTGTCTCCTTTATAAGCAATCTGAGCCTTGTCTATACTTTTTTATTTACTTTTAAAAGAAAGTCCAATCTGTGTGATTTAGTTATTCAGATATGAAGCCTATTCCATTTTTTCCCCCCAACTCAGAAACATTATAATTCCATCAAGAGGTTATTGACTGCTCTTTAGGGGGATCAGCAAATTGCCTTAGGGAATCATGATTTAAAACTATTAGGCCACTAATTCTCCTTCCTGAAAGAGAGCTCTTAGCTCTAGATGTCAAACAAATGAATGTAATATGATCTATGTCACATACATTCCTTCAAAGTCTCCCTGGCGCCTCTTTTGGTTATCTCCATGGCTTTCTCACAGTTCTAAAGAATGTTAACGATGGGTATTAATTTGCCCAGCATTATTTCTCCCCAAACCTTAGGAGTTACATATTCTCTTTCTTTTCTTTCCAGGATGTGCTTGTTCTCAAGTGACTCAACTCTTTTCCATTGAAGTCTCTGGCTCCGGGAAATTCTAGGATACCGAATGTATAGATGCAGGTAATGCCCTACGTTTTTACAGAGAATGGATGCTCAGGTCTCTGGGACCCAGCTCAGTAGGCACTTGGTTCATCCATCCTTTTTAGTCCCCATCTCCTTAGGAATTATGAATGCATGTGTTGAGAATGGGGTGGCCTAGAACAGCACAAATTAATCAGCAACAAATGAACTCTGACAGCCTCGACCACACACACCAAAAAATCCATTCCTTTCTCATGGGTGTCATGAAAATACCAACAGATTAACTGATCAATTATCTTTGTTTCATCATCCTAAAAAGAAAATATGACCATGAAGGTATGGCTTATGGTTATGGGGACCACTTAGGCTGAGAAAGGTATGACAGTATTAACTATCACCAACACTTAGCTTGGCTTCTACCTCTGAGGCCGCGGGGTGGGAGGAGGGGGGAGTGGAGGCATGGCTTCAACACTGTTTCATGGCTATTAGATTCGTTATTAAGAAGAATGAGACTCCTGGGATGTTTCTACGCTCGTACTGATAATCTCAAGGGAACTGGCAATTTCCAAAGCCAGCAGTGACCCTTGATCTCTGCCCATAGGACTTGGGCTGGTACCATCACTGCCTCCTACTACAGACCCCTTCTTGCTAACTCCCTACCCTGAGAGCTGTCAGTACAGGAAATCCTTAGAAATAAAGGCAATTAGAGCAAACACCCTGCTGGAAAGTCTGTGTCCACTTTCCAGAGCCCATGCCCATCCAGACACACAGCTGCAAAAAATGAAGTCTATATCCGTATACATATCAATATAAAATCGATAAAAGAGGGCATGGAAAGGGTAATTAGTGATGTTTTTCAGTCTAAGAAGGAAGAGTGGGTGTTAAGAGTTTAATTAATTGGAATCAGCAATTCCTAGTACAGACCAGTGTCAGTAGCTAAAGGAAAAAAAAAAGATCATTATGAATGGGGTGGGGTAGGAACCATGCTCCAACATGCAGCACTGATAAGAGGGGGACAGGGGTGGGGGTTTTCATGACACACATGCTGATGGGGGGAGATGGGAAGTCCCATTTACAGAAGAGTCCTCAGGAGGTGACACACAAAACCGTGGCTCTGTGAAGTCAATGGAAGCCATGCAGGTACCCAAGATTCAATACATATTCACACAGAGACTATTTTAGCTAGCAGCAGTAAACTAGCTCTTGCCATGCTAATCTACCCTCTGCTCTGCAGGCCCAGGAGCCAGGTGACCAGAGAGAATGGTGGTGTCCCTTCTTTGTTCAGTGTTGTTATTGGGCTAGTAAATATTCACCCAGCTGAACTGAAGAGTAGATGGGACATCTGGCCCACGTGAAGGCTGATCCCAGGCAATGTGGGGCAGATAGACAAAGGGACATTAGATTTAATCAGTTGCTGGATGTGCTACCGACTGACTGTATCTTTTAGCTCATTGAATCCTTTCAGCCTCAGGTCCAATTCACTTTAACAACCATGGAGAAGAAGATGTTAACTCAACTCGATTTCCCTCTCCTGTAAACCTCATTTGCTCTGGCTCCTCCATTTTCTAAAAAATTGTTATTAAAGGCCCTTTCCTCTGCTGGTGACTGAAGTCTTCTGCCTATGCGTTATAGATGGGCAGGACAGGATTCACTACAGATGGAAAGTGGGAGGGGTGAGGGATGAACAGAGTTTTAGAAGTCCATGGGGGTATTGAGTGAATCTTTATTTATTTATTTACTACTGGACAACCAGTAATTGACAGCCAAGATCAGCCCAAAGGTGTAATCCTAGGGCAACTACAGGAAACATCTCCCAACATCTCTTGGCTTGTTTCCATGTCTTAGAGAAGTCTCTTCAGGAGCACACACATTTCTATCTTGCTAATGCTGTGCTTTGTTTCATTCTTAATTGTAGCAATGCACAGAACTGGACAAATTGTTTCTTAAAAAAACAAAATTAATAAATGAAATGAGTTTTAAAATTCAACATCCTGCTTACACTTTAAGAAATATGAAACCACCACATATTTAAGGTGAGATTCGAGTTTAGCAGATCTAAAACTTGCACAAATTCTCTTCTCTAAGATCAAGATAAGATTTTTTTTTGTAGGTCATGGGCCTGAACTCTGGACCTGCATGCTGTCCCTGAGCTCTTCAGCTCAAGGCTAGTGCTCTACCACTTGAGCCATAGCACCACTTCCGGCGTTTTCTGCTTATGTGGTGCTGAGGAATCAAACCCAGGGCCGCATGCGTGCAAGGCAAGCACTCTACCACTGAGCCACCTTCCCAGTCCTAAGATAAAATAATTTTTAAAGGATATGTGAGAATCATTATTGTGGATTGTATCACATTAGATTTTTTAAAGTTTTATTTAAAATTTATTTAATTACAGAGGTGTTACAGTTACATGAGTAAGGCAACGAGTACATTTCTTGTTTTGTGCTAGTCTTGGGGCCTGAACTAGAACCTGGGCACTGTCCCTGAGCTTTTTTGCTTAAGGCTAATTCCCTCCCACTTGAGCCACAGCTGTACTTCTGGCCTTTTTGGTGATTAATTGGAGATAAAGAGTCTCATGGATTTTCTTACTCTGGCTGCCTTCAAGCTTCTATCCTCAGATCTCGGCTACCTGAGTAGCTGGGATTATAGGAGTGAGCCACTAGCACCTAGCGAGATATTGTCCTGTTTGGGGGAATATTCCCACTTTTGTTTTCTACAATGTCAAAACTAGACAGCTCCTTTTTGGAAATGAGAGCATCTCCTATGCAAATCTGGGAGTCTGGCTGTAAATGGGACTAAATTAACGTGCAGTTGTCATACCTACAAAAAAAAAAGGGGAAGTCTTTGTGACAGGCAATGGGAGGCGAAGAGAGGGGAAACACACAGGCTAACACACGTGAGGCGCGTGACCATGACATGGAACAGACTAGGAACAAAGAACATGCAACACAAGCGTTGATGGTTTTGTCTGTGTGGATGTCGCCCAATCAGTTCTGAGAGAAGTGGGACCCCGGCATGCACGGGCACACTGGGTGGTTATTGGGGTTAGTTCTGTTTTTGTGATCAGTGCAGCCTGTGTGTGTCTCAGGGTATGATGCCAAGTAAAACTTTCCAGTTAGGAGCGAATGGAATGTGTATGATTCCCAGGGCAGGTTCTAGAATAGGTGTTTGATTTTAGTGAGAGAAGCCATGAGTAGAGAGAGGCCTCCTTCTTCTCTCTCTCTCTCTCTCTCTTGATGGTATGCGAGAGATGTTTGAACAAGGTTGTGACAGGCACAATATTAACTAATTATTTTGTCACTGCTTTGTGCTTAATTAGACTATAATTTCATTTCCTCTGCTACAAGGGTCAATCACGATTCTTGATTACTCTGAAATTCCAGTCATGGTAATTGCCAAGTGACTGCTGCTTGATTTGTGCCCCCACTGCCTGGATGAGGCTCCCTCTTGAAGAGTGGCACCTTACAAGCAATCACAGCCACGCAGCTCTTAGCTAAATTCTTATTTCCGAGAAAGTCTTCAATTTGCATGAATTTTGTGATGTGCTTTCATTGGTTTGATACAAATACCTTTGCCAGGGATATCATTCTTTCTGTAGCATTTCCATCGCAAACATGTTCGTGGAATGGTAACCCATTTTTAGGACCACTGTGGTTTTAGAGAGCTATTTAGGCATAAAGATAAACAACTGCCATAAGGCTTGTTTGTTTTTCATAACTCTCTGGGGAAAATTCAGGTTTACACACTATGCGGTGGCGAATGTGGCTTTATGGTAGAGAGCAGTGGGTGTGACCAGGTGTCTTGGAAACAAAGGGCTGTCATGTCATCCAATGGCCACGTCAAAGTTGTATGAAACGGTGAATTCTGGATGTGAATTGAGAATAAGAGGAAATCTCTCCAATGGCTTCACTTTGAATATTGGAAAGAGAGAGAAATGAGTGAGCCCTGGGTGCCAGGTTATGGTCCCAGGCTTACTTCACTTATCAGAACAAAGAATTTTACCTTCTGTTCGCCAGCGTGGACGACATCATCAGCACCATGCAAGCCACATGACAAAGTCACATGATACGCACGCACATGATTGGTTGAAAGGAAAGTGGAGGAGGTCACATGGAAAATACAAAAAAATTAAAAACTGATGTAAACAATGAGCAGGGAGAAAAAACCAATAACAAAATCACAGACTAAATAAAAAGAGAAATCAAATTAAATTAGCAGCATATATAGGAAACACATTGGGAGGACAGTAAAAAAAAAATCCCGGAAATTGAATAATAAATCAAGAGCACTTGGTTAACCACACCAATAAGCATTAGCTACCACTGCAACAACATTGCACATTAAATTAATTATTAACATCAAGGAGTGTAAACCGTTGTTTTGAAATGGGGAGGTCTTTCTCTCAGGACTCCTGTCAAAGTCAATCCTGGAGAAAGTCAAGGAAAAAGAGAGGGGGGGGGGAAGGGAGGGAATGGGAGAGAGAGAGAAGGAGGAAGGGAGGGAGGGGGAGAGAGAGAAGGGGGGAGGATTGTTATTCACAAATTCCAGAAATATCTCAGCATCTTTGGGAAGCAAGGACGGTGAAACAGGCCATGGATCACCAAGTAAAAGTCCTGAGATTGTGAACCCTGAAAGAACAAAGGATTGCATTAAATCAAGGAACGTCATCTCACGTTTCCACTAGTGAAGCCAGGAGATGGAAGCTGAGCTGTAGGAAGCCGGATGGATGCAGCCCAAGGGAGGTGGACTTGGAGGCGCTCACCTCACTTCACCACATCCACAAGGCTCTTGGCTTTGGTGGGGCTCCCCAAAGCCAAGACACACACACAAAGGACAAGGCCGGTGCTGCCTGGGAGGTAGGCTCCTTTTGGTGGTTGACATAATGATCTGTTGACCCTGAAAGGCAAAAAAGGAGTCTCTGGCCCAACAAACTGATGGTCTGTCATGAAACAAACACTTGGAGGTTTGAAGTGATAGCCCCGGATGTGTGGCTGCATTTGAAATTTACAGTGTGGGGGAAAAAAAAAGTAATGTTCCTGCTTGCATCTGTCTATGTTGTTCTTGGGACCTTTCTTCTGTGCTATATTCCCAGATGAAATGGAATGACCCTGACTGCTTAGCGAGGGTATTAGGTTTTTCCAGCTTAACTTTCACAGGCCTATTGGGGGCTTTGGCAAATAAAGCTTAGAGAAAAGGGCAAAGAAGGGAGGTAGAAAGTAGTCTTTCTGCCCAAAGCATGCTGCTGATTAAAAATAGAAACGTTTCAGCCAAGTGACATATCCCCTTGTCGCTATGAGCTAACAGAACCAAAGCTCCTCATTCTCCGTTCAAGCATGCGCGGCTGAGATGATAGATGGTTGAGCACTTTCTCTTGGTGTTTTATTTGGGGATACCTCTATTCCCTCTGATCCTAAGTAGAGCGAGACACACACACACACACACACACACGGAAAGGTAGGAGATACACACACACACACACACACTCACACGGAAAGGTAGGAGATACACACACACACACACGGAAAGGTAGGAGATACACACACACACACACACACACACACACACACACACACACGGAAAGGTAGGAGATACTATTCCATATTTTCAACCCTGAGAATGTGACTTGGCATGACTTTCCTCACAGCAGCTTTGCTATTCACATGTGGTGTGTGTGTTTCATGCTGTCTGGTTGCTGAAGAACATGCTCATATTAAATGTGGGCTCCTGCTCTATCGTGAGTAACTCTCCTTTATCTCAATATCAGCGAGGCCCTATGGTTGAAAACCAGACAGGCTACGAAGCTTTTCCCTTGGATGTCACCACATTTCACCTGTGGTCAGAAAGTTCTGGTGCTTAACAATTAAACACCCATCATTCCTTCTTCAGGACAAATATGGAATTAAGACCGTGTTTTACTGACACAAGCGTCCATGCGACACAGAGACACACAGTCATGCAGATTCATCATGTAGTTTTCTCCCATTGTGTGAGATACACACTGTAGCACAGGCTACACAAGGACAAGAGGGACACCAAACAAGAAAGGGTGTTGTTAGCTGCACTGCTTTTCCAAATGCAACAGTAAAATAAAACGAATCCAGACCATATCTGAATTAAACGCGGGCAAGCTTGCCGTCACCTGTGCTGCTCTGCTCACAAAATGAAACCTCAAAAGCTTCTGGGATTAAAATTCCTTGCCACACACACACACACACACACACACACACACACACACACACACACACACAGCCAAGAAAGCAAACCCTTAGGTGTGTTCTGCAGAAGAAAAAGGAAACATTTCATCCAACACTCAGAACCAGAAATCTCTTTTCTCCCTTGTTTAATTATGTATCAGAAGCTGGGCTTTCTGCTTCTTGCCTTCTCGCTCTGACTGCTTGTCCGTGGGATACGTGCCGTTTGTGCTCTACACCCAGAGATATTGTAAAATCTGAAAGCCACACCCAGCTTTAGCCCCTGAACACTGCACATGTCTACACATAGTCCTATGGCTGATCTGGCTTCATAGAGTGTTGTAAATACCAGCCCATAACGGGTGATGGTCTACACTTAAGTGTCAGGTGTCCATGATGGGAGAAAACTGTATCATCTGAGTTTTGAGTCTGTTGTCAAGAACAGAACTCCAGTTCTTTGTCTTGACTTTAAACTAAGAACAAGCCTGGGCTAGGTGTCTTTGGTCTATCACGGTTGCTTCCTTCCTTCCTTCCTTCCTTTCTTCTCCCTTTCACCTTCCCTCCCTTTCTTTTTCTTATACCACCCGAGCCATACTTATACTTCTAATTTTTTTCTGGTTTATTGGAGATAAGAAAGAATCTCTCTTAAATTTACCTGCCCAGGCTGGCTTCCTGGATTCTTGGATCTCAACCTCCCCAGAAGGTAGGATAACAGGTGTGAGCCACCAGTGCCCAGCTGGCAAACCACATTTCCAGCACTGAGAAAACCTGAAGGGCCCCTGCCTGCATGTTCTCTGAGTATTCTGATACAAAGGCAAGCGTGCTTTCGAAGGCAGCCACTCTTCGCTTCTCCACATCACCCCTAGCATATGTGGAGGAGCCATTTCTTATTTCTTCCTTTGTGCCGAGTTGTTTTGCAACTCTACATAAGTGTGAGTGCGTGTGCATGTGTGTTGTGTACATGCATGCGTGTGTGTTCCAGTGTGATTTTCCTGGTCTTCTCTATTTTGTAACATGAGACTCAATTTGGAAAGGTCTCCTGTGAACTGAGTATTCTAGAAATAATCCCCCCTGATCTGTTGAGGATGACTGGTTTGCTCTCTTGGCCAAGCAGATAGCATGCATAGGAAACCACACTAGGCTAGGAGCCTGCATGCATTCACAACTGTTGCTTCTCATGAAAGAAAACATGGGCCGTGATTCCACCCGGAAGTCTACAACAAACAGCCATCAGAGGCAGCTTCTCAGCGATGTACTCACTAGACAGCTCTGCAGTTGTAAGGGCAGGAAGAGGCCAGGTTGCTATGGAAACATGAAGGGCAGAAAGGGCAAAGAAAGGTGAAGGAGGGAAGGGAGACAAACTCAAATCTGTACGCATGTGTGAATGCATCTATATATTTTATATGAGCATCATGAGAAAGAAAAGACATGAGATGGCGAAGCTTCCTTCTTCCCTGATTTATCAATATTAATATAAGTATTTTAAAGAAATCTTCAGAGATTTTTTTTACTGACAAATGACACTCACACAGCAAGTGATAATATATCCCCCAATTACTAGCATTTACTATATGTATATGTGTCTATATATATATCAAATTTAATATATATATATATATATATACAGATATGCAGAATCTATCCTTTATTTTAGGGATGAGAGATCTAAGACTGAAGGAGACATGGAATTGCATAGGAAGAATAGAAGTGCTGGGATTTGAACCCAGTCAGTCTGGTCCAAAGCCTGAGCTCCTTTTTGCTAAAGAGGAGTGGTATGATGGGGATATTTCTGAGTCATACACATGGCATTTGGACTTGGGGCTTGAGTGTCCTGAAGTGGAGGGGGAGGAGACAGAGGCTTGGGCTGTACTAAGCATAGTGCTAGCCGGCAGGACCACCCTGCCTGCAAACTCTCTGTGTGTGCCTCTCTGAGCCACTGTTGGCATTCCAGCCCACGCGTGCTCAAATGTTGTCTAACTTTGCTTTATTTCTTCCCTCTAGAAAACTAGGTTCAAATGCCAAAGGGCAGCAGGCCTGGTGTGCTTTCTTCTCTGGATGATTCAAGGCAATCAAAAGACAGGGCAGGAAAGAAATGACTGGAAATCAGCCAGCCTCTGCCAGGTTGAAGAAGCCAGAGCATGACTGATCTCCATTCCCACTGGGTCAGTGGTACTGATCCAGGGTGAACAAGGCTTACCAATTTGAAAAAAACAATGCTTGTGAAGTTTGCTGTTTTCTTGATGGGGGTGCATGCTGAGTAAGCGCTTATTCGATTTTAGAGAGGAGAAAAGCAAACCTCCCTTGCAAAAGGTTAAATAATTTGTGGAGGCCGTGACTGCCAAGAACATCTGTAAGCAGACACTTTATTTTCCTATGAATATTTACAAGAAATGTATGTGTTTACGGAGAAAGTGCAAGCTACGGGCCTCACTACCTAATGTCAATGTTGGAAATCCAACTGTGCCAATTAAAAGAAAGGGTGAAAAACCTAACACCTCAAAAGCATTTTGTATGACCCTCAAGAGGAGATATGTGTGTATATATATAGATTTTTTTCTGTAGTAAATTCCTTGAGCTTCTCCAAATATCAAATTCTAGCCCATGAGAAATCGTGGGGATGGCTGGCCTCGGCAAATCCAGGGAGGCTGTCGGCAGGGCTCTCCTGTTCACTCCTCTGAATCTGACAGGCCTTGTGCCTATTGCTCTTTTCCTTGGCTTCTCTAAAGTCTCAGTGATTCTCCTGGTAAAAGAGTTAACATTAGGCCGACAAACTGTAGCTGGTGGCAAGCAACCTGCAGAGAGACGGATGAACAAAATGATACTCACTAGCTGGCGAAGACAATGGAACAAAGGTAGAAGAGCCAGCAGGAGCCACTGAAGAAAGAAAAATGAAGATTAAAAAAAGGGGGAGGGAATTGAGGGGAGAGAAACAGATCGAGAAGGCACATGGATACTGAAGAAATAGAAATGGCAGTCTTGGGAATGACAGTAGGAGAAGCTGATGCAAATTCGAATTAGGAAGAGAAACTTCATGCATGGAACAGGTGGCCCGCAGACCAGCACAGGGCACAGCTCTCTTTTTAACTTCAAACCAGGAGTCTGAGCGTCTGCCAAGCCTACTGTTCAGGTAAGGGAATGGGCCAGGAACAGCTGCACGGCCTTAAATGCTGGCTGAAAATGAACAACTAATTCGGCAGGACCAGCTGGCTCCACAGGATCAGAGGGACAGCAGAAAGGGAATCTGATGGTCCTCAGCAGAGAGGATTAAAATAAAAAAGACCAGTTTTCATGTCCTATTCTTCGTATGTGTCTATAGTAGGCACATGTTTATATCCATGGTGCACATGGATAGCAAAACATACATGCCTTGCTTAGCTCTGTTTTTAATAACTAAATGAAATGGAATAAACCTATTCTTAATGACTGGGTGAGGTCTGTGTTATGCAGAAGCTGTCCCTGGCTTGTTTGTATATGAAAGATACAGCTGCCCTCCAGCATGCGCCCTATAGAATAAGACTCTTTGGAAGTTGCTGTGGCACAGAATGCATACACTGTTCCTACCATTCTTTCTCTCCTGCAGGAAAAGTACATGAAAAAGAGGGAGGGATAATCAAGTTACACTAAGCATCTTCCTGCATGGAGGGTGTTAGACATTGCATACTTGGAGAGACATGGATACTTGACGGATCTTTTCTTTTCCACTGGCAACGTCCCTTTGGAGAACTAGATGAAAATTTGGAAAACACCAACCTCTTTCCAACATCACCTTAGTATGGCTTGGTGATTCCATACTTCCAAGGTGTAGGTATCTGTTTAAACCCTCAGGGTACAATGTCACTGGAATCAGAGTAAACAGGATACTAAACTGTCGTGATCAGACAGCCTGATTCATTCTGGTAAAGTCCTCTTTCTCCCTCTCTCCCTCTCTCTCCCTCCCTCTCATAAGTTGGCTTGGATTATTTGCATAATTCATTCATACTGTTCTAGAAAAAGGGTAGAAGTTTCTGTGTTTTAATCACATATAATACATCTAAAGTATACTTTCATATGCCACATAGTGGACCCCATTTAGAAACAAAAAATGTCAGGGTACCTCATTTTTTTTTAAAGTAGAGACTATGTACTCTCTGTATCTGGAAAGAACTGGTCTATTTTGCTGTACAGAAGCAAATGAAGATGTAACTTTCAGGCTTTGAAATTCTACAGGTGTATGGTTCAAATAGGGGGATAGATAAAATTATGTAGTTAAGTTGTAAATAGTTCCAAGGGAAGAGCCCCTCTCAAGGCAAAATGAGGCTATGAGCTTAGCACTGGAGGGTCTTGACAGCATGTAGGCATTTGGCTTAAACAATGTGAATCAGCAACATTTCCCCAGGTTAGAGTTTATCTATGTTTTAGAAGCACAGCTCCCTCATTCCCTTCATGCACACACAGGAAGAACACACAAAGGAACCTCCAAACAGGTAAGCCATGCACGCGTACAAGTGGGGGTCCTTGAGTTATTTGTGACTGCTGCTGGTTTAACCTGCTTTGATAAGCCTATGTTATTATATGGGGAGAGGAGGAGTCCATTAAGTTACCCAGAGAGAAACCCCCCTTTATTAAGACTACCCCAATAACACTTCCTGACTCAGGGTCTTGCAGACAACACCTCTCTGTCTGGCATGTAACACCTGCTGGCCATGTGTTTGCATCTTTCCCTGGGGGACAAGGGTCAACGCAGGGGGAAACTCCAGGGTGAGCCCACAGATCTACAGGATAAGGTGCTCAGCACCATTGGTTCCCAGGCTTGATTCAAACACAAAGCTCAACAGAAGGGGGATGTGTTCACCTGAGTTCAGGCATACTCTGAACCTTCTTTTTTTTTTTTTCCATCATGGGGGTTGAACTCTGGGCCTGGGTGCTGTCCCTCAGCTCTTCAGCTCTACCACTTGAGCCACAGTGCCACTTCCGGTTTTCTGGTGGTTTCTTGGAGATAAGGGTTTCACGGACTTTCCTGCCTGGCCTGGCTTTGAACTGCGACCCTTAGATCTCAGCCTCCTGAGTAGCTAGGATTACAGGTGTGAGCCACTGGCGCCTGACTACACTCTGAGCCTTCTGAGGAATGGGAGGAAAACACTGAGAAGGGCTTTCCTCACTACCTACTGGGAAGAGGCTGCCTGTGTCCCAGCAGTGTGGCACACTGGCATCATCCTTCTAGGGGGTGGCCCTTCTAAGGACAGGTCTGGACATCAGGAGACCAGCCCTGGGCAAGTCCCTCCAGGCAGTAACTCAGGAAAGCTTAGGAGAGATCATAGTCAAGTTCTCCTACATGAGGTAATGTTCCCACATTTTTTACTGCCTCATCCCTGCCAATACTGTGGGACAAAGGTACATTCGACTCCAAGACCGTGTGTGTGTGTGTGTGTGTGTGTGTGTGTGTGTGTGTACTGATAGTGGGGTATGAACTCAAAACCTCATGCTCTTGCTTGCTGCTTTGCCCAACTTGAGCCACATCCACACTTCTAGCTTTTTGATAGTTAATTGGACAGAAGGGTGTCATGGACTTTTCTTCCCTGGCTTTGAATCATGGTCCTCATATCTCAGCCTCCTGAGTAGAAAGGATAACAGGTATGAGTCACCAGCACTGGCTAAGAATTTTGCTTTTGTTTTAAAGAATTCTTTAAATACAACTTTGTCATGATTGAGAACAACTTACTGTGCCACATTCATGATCCCATTTATGATCTATGTGGATGCTACTAGGAATCTCAGCTCATGATGCACCTTCATACTCTTAGACAAAGGTGTTTCTCTCTTTTTGAAAAATGATTGTGCCAGTCCTGGGGCTTGAACTCAGTGCCTGGATGCTATCCCTGACTGAATTTTTTGCTCAAGGCTAGCACTCTACCACTTGAACCACAGCTGCACTTCCAGCTTTTTGGTGGTTAGTTGGAGAGTCTCATGGATTTTCTTGCCTGGGCTGGGTTTGGATGGTGATTCTCAGATCTCAGCCTCCTGAGTAGTTAGGATCACATCTACTACACCAGGATCACACTAGCCACCAGCACTAGGCTCAAAGGTGGTTTTTTTTTTGGTTCTTGTTTTTTTTTTTAAGTAAAACTAAAGCAAACAATTAAAGCAAACATTTTAAAATCCTGACTTTAAAAGCAGCCTCTGCTATATGAAGAAAACATCTCAACTTTATATAAAGGACTGGTCTGGCAGAGCCTGAAGATGTGTCAGACTCCAGCTCCAGGCACTGGGGAGAAAACCCAGCCTTCCTCTTATTCATATAGCAAAGCCAGCATCTACTTGTGGATCACCTCTTAAATAGAAAGAACTTGAAAACTCTGTTAGGGCTTACTAGAAGAATATAGAAGGAAGGAGCTGTTCCTCCTGGGCTCCTGTGGGGGCACAGCTGCCAGCCAAGAATAGGCTGACAGTCCTATAGCTACATGCTCTCCTTCCCGCCCTGCACCTGCCACTCTGTCACCATCTTGAGTTAGTACTTTCAGACGTCAACTTGGCTGAGGTAGATTTTATCTAGCTCAAAAAAAAAATCTCAGAACAACCATACTTTGTGAACTTTGTTTTTGCTGTTGTTGCAGTATTTCAGAATACATTTCAACAGGGAAGTTTTCCTGAATGCCTTTCTTTCTGGGTCTATCTGGGTGACACTTGGCTCCACTCCACTTTGTGCTCAGCTTAGGAAGGAGGAGCCAGGCCTCTGTGAAGGAAAGTTTGGGGAGTCTGTGTGTAGACTGAGGCATCAGATAACAGTTCTACTTCCTACAGCAACAGGTCCATTCTGTGTACGCTGTGTTTCCTGTGTCCTGCATGTGTAGCCTGCATAAGTAGTGTGTCATTTCCATGGGAATTCTCTCCCTCTCTATGTGAGACCAGCAGAGTTGTAAACTTAGCAGATCAGTTTGTTCCAAACACATGTTACAAGTTATCTACTGCTAACAAACAGAGATGACTGGAACTGAAGGTTTAAACCCTGAACGGTTTCCTGCCGGACAAGCTTCATGGTGCACTTTTTACCCTGGCAGCTGCCACAAGGGGCCTCCCCAGCCAGTCTTGCTATTCCCCTCTAACTACCCACTGACAGACAGAAACACAGGGAAGCAACTGCGTTCTAGACTTTTCTATCCTAAAAAGCAAAATGTGGAAATTTCTTTCAGGTTCTTTTCTGCTTGAAGGTAGACCAGGAATCGACAGCTAGCTCTCTGGTATCTTGGCTAAAGGTAAGGAAGTGCTGTAGCGTGTTACTCAGGAACCATCTGCACAGTCCACCATGCTTGGCTCAGCAAACGTTATCTTTGCCACAGGGTAATCATCACACGCAAAAATTAATAAATAGACAATTTCAAAACACACGGAAGTTGCATGCTCTAAAACAAGAAGTGTTAGCCTCTCGGAGGAACCTACAGACGTTAACAAGGGCACAACTAGACTAAGGTCAGTGTGGTTAGGGCCTAGACAGCACCATCTATGTCAGCCTCTAGGGGACAAAAAAAGGGGACCAGAACTAAATTAAGAACTAGAACTAGCAGATGTTAAGGCTATGGAGACAGGTAATGAGGTATGAAGAGGCACTTACGTGAAGGAGGGCTATCTGCATTTTCCATGGTTGGAACACAGACGAAAAGAAAAGCCAAGAGACAGACCCAAGGGGTGGGGGGGGGGAGAAAAAAATAAGATGTAAAAGAAATGAACAGAACCTGCAGAGCACATGGAGCTGGAAAGGCAAATTATCAAATTACGTCTAATCCAGAAAGAGGCAATCCCTGCAGAAGGAAGACGAGATGGGCTATTCTACTTCTGGGATGAGGTAAGGTGATTCCTTTGCAGCTCCCTGGCTTAGAAGGCCAGCAAGCAAAGGATTCTCTCATGCATGTTAAATCCAGGGGCCAGGGAGAGCCCAGGAGCTCTGTGGAAATCAAGGAGTCCAGGTACAGCTTTGTCTTCATCCAGACAGACTCACGAGCCTCTCAGGACAGAAACTCTGGTGGGTAGAAGGACATGGCCAGGGCAGGGCTTATCTAGTGCTGCAAAAAGCAAGGGCAAAAGCTGGGCAGGCATGGGTTAAAGAAAGAGAGGATGATAAGGGGAAACAAAGGCAGCCCTGAGCAGCACCAGGGAGAAGCAGCTCTCTGGAGAGAGAGATAGCCCATGAGGCAGGTAAACCGAATGCTCCGGTGGGGGGTGCTTGGGGGGGTGGGTGGAAGAGGGAGCCAAACATGTCCAAGGCCAAGGCTGTCCTCTTCCCTTTTAAATGCTGGGAAGTCTGTTCCTGCACACGTATCATACAGTAATCTGTTTTCCTATGGTATGCCCGCCAGGACTTAGATGAATTGTCATCGTCTCTATCTTCTCCCTTTAAGGCACAGGATGCTCGGTATATCTGTAGTAATTCTCTCGAATCCCTCCAACTCACCTGCTGGCTTTATTCACTCTCTCTTCAATGCAATGTCAGAGGGAGCACCCCCTGGATGTTATTAGCCTCCCCAACCCCTTTAAGAAAGACAGGGTAAGAGGACTGTGTGTTAGCCATCCCTGAGAGCCAAGTGGGCTAAGTGGGCAATCATGAGCACAGGGACCTGAAAGACCAAAAGCTGTCTTCTGAGCCACAACTGGGCCAGCTCAGGGTCCTGGCTACGCACAAGAAGAGCAGAGGTGAGGGTGAGAGGCAGGGCAGCTGGCTTTACTTACGGACTGGCTGTGTCTTGAACTCAGAGGCTGCGCTGATCTCACCCAGCCCCTTGCCGTTGAGGGCTGCCAATCGCACAGCGTAGGATGTCTCAGGCTTCAGGCCCACGATGGTGACAACACCCTCCATGTTGGCTGTTGTGAAAATATAGGACGGATCACAAAGGGTGGAAGGGTACTGATGAAATGCTGCTGTGGAAAATAGTATAGTGGTACCATTATCTGACATAGCAATTCCACCTCCAGGTACACACACACACACACACACACACACACACACACACACACACACACACGAATTGAAAGCAGGGACTCAAGAGAGTAACTGTCCGCATTTCCAATAGCAGCATTCACCATAGCCAAGAAGCAAAAGCAAATCTAAATGTCCCACCATTGGTAAATAAACGGATCCATGAAATATACTAAAGAGAAGCAGTGGAATACTATTCAGCCTTGAAAAGGAGATGAACACTTGACCCATGACACCATGGATGAACCCGGAGGGCATTACGTGAAATGAAATAAACTAGAGCCAAATGGACAAATATTGTACAATTCTATCTACATAAGACACCTAAAATGATCAACTGCAGGAAGTGGAACCGTGGGGACCAAAGGTAGGTGAGGAAATGGGGAGCTATTATTTCAAGGGCAAAGAGGTTTGGTTTGGGATGACAGGAAAGTTCTAGGGGACAGATAGGAATGATGGCTGTGTTTTACGCTAATGAGTTTTAATGCTACAACTTAAAAATGGTAAGATGTAAAGCTTATGTATGTTTTACAACAATAAAAAAGCATAACAACCCTAGAAGCAATTTTAGGATAAAAAGAAAACCATAAGCCAGGAAAATGTCACAACGTAAGTATGAGAAAGGATGGATTTCCTCTGTCTCTGGTCCTGATTACGTAGCAGCTCCTCTTAGTCCCTCCCTCCCTCCAGCTGTCCAGGAGTGGAATGATCCATGGAGGTTTCACTGCAGACAAAGTCTCAGGAAGATTGCTTGAGACCTGGCTCTGGATGGCTGAGAGACCCGTATTCCTGCCAGTTCCTGATTCCACCCTAGTTCCCCCATACCAGACAAGGGCTACACTATAAGAACACAACATTGAGTTACCCCAGTTACCAAAGAAGGAGTCAGATATAGATCTATCTGTTGTCTGCTGCTCTGGGTTCAGATCTCCCAATTGCAGTAAAATCCAGAAGACCTTTTCAGAATCTTTAACTAGAAAGATATCTCAGGATTGCCTTTAAAGCAGACTTTCTCTCATCACCACTTGTTTATTTGGTTCCTGTCATAATTACATGGCAGCTCCTGGGTACAGATACCCAGGCAGGACTAGCGAGGCATTACAGGTAACAGATAGGGCCACAGCAAGAGTAACCTGTACTCATCCGGCTGTGTTCAGCATCTATGCGGGGCTTCTGCTCAGCACATGGTGGAGAATAGGATGTCAATACCAGCAGTAGAAGGACAATAGCTCTCCATCAAGATCTGACTGTGGTCCTAATTCTTTAGCGACTCAGATGGGGGTGGCAGATGGTGACATCTCTCAAGTTGCAGAGCCATGTCACCAGACTCCAACAGGAAGCTGAGATGCTGAATGCTGAGCATGAGTGTACTCCCTCAATACCAAGGACCAAGGTGATCAGTCCTCCAGGGGACCCTCTCCCTTCCCCACTCACCTTCCTTGGCATCGTACCACTTGAAGTGCCACACTTCTTCACCCAGCGCTCTCCACTCAGCCTTGTATTTGAGGATGGGGACTCCACCTGTGGCCTCTGGCTCATCAAACTGCACCTGTGCTGTACTGGAGTATGGTTCCACTCCATCGATGGAGGGTGAAGATGGGGTGTCTGTGTGGAAAATACAAAGAAACCCAGATAAGCAGCACTTCTTCTTATTATTTTTATTTGGTGCTGGTCCTACTGCTTGAACTCAGGACCTGGGTGATGTCCCTGAGCTTCTTTGGCTCAAGGCTAGCACTCTACCAGTTGAGCCACAGCTCCACTTCTAGCTCTTTTGGTAGTTTATTGGAGATAAGCAAGCATCTCAGACTTTCCTTCCCCAGGCTGGCTTCGAACTGTGATCCTCAGATCTCAGCCTTCTTAGCAGTCAGGATGACAGGCATTAGCCATTAGCACCCAGCTAAGCAGTACATTGAATCACAAAACATATTTCTCTCATTTCTGTGCATTCTTGGGATTCCTGTTGTCTGTCTTCTGTCCTCCGGGCCCATTTCCCGACCTGATCCTCTCCTTGATTCATCTCATGCTTAGATCCTCACACCTTCAAGACTCCCTGCGTTTCCTGACCATCTGGCTTGGTGGATCCTGGTGCTTTCTTCTTCCTGCAATCCTGGTACCCGTGAGGTGTCTTTGATGAGCAGCAAGGGAGGGGCGAGTGGCACTCACCTGCTTGAACAAGGATGAATTCTAAGGATTCCTGTCCAATGCGGTTCACTGCAGTACAGTTGTAGTTTCCAAAATCATTTTCAGAGTCTGGGGTCACCTTTAGAAAGAAGGAGGCAAGTCTTTTGGTTATGGATAAAGCACAAATCATTCATTCCAGTCCCAGTCTAGTCCCATAGACAGGACCAGTAGTACAGCAGAGAAAAGCAGTTTCTTCTCCAGCTAATGGTTCCCCGGTTTACAATGTGCCAAGGAAGCGAGAGAGAAGATGTGAGTGGCACTCAAAAGCGTATCCAGCTAGGCATCTGTGGCTCACGCCTGTAATCCTAGCTACTCAGGAGGCTGAGACTGAGGACTGTGGTTCAAAGCCAGCCCAGGCAGGTAAGTCTATAAGAGTCTTATTGCCAATTAACCACCAAAACCCCCCCACAAAAACCTTGGACACAGAACTATGGCACAAGCGGTAGAGTTCCAGCCTTGAGCAAAAAAGCTAAAGGATAGCACCTAGTCCCTGAGTTCAAGCCCCAGTACGTTGTATACACACATATAAAAGGCCTTTTCCACCCCGCTGTACCCCCCAACCTTGACATACCTCCAGATAGCTGGCTGAGGGGGTGTTGTAGATCTTGATATTGCTATAGTTGGAGCTCGGCAGTAACTGACCGTCTCGGAACCAGGAGATCGTAGCACTGGGGTAAGCAAAGACCTCGCAGGTGATGTTCACCTGATTCCCCTCCCATGTGTACACTGCCACAGGACCCTGTAGCTTGGGGGCATCTGCAATGAGTTAGAAACAACAGCTATCAGAATGATCACCGCTATTGGAGCCCTCCACATCCTGTCTCTTGGCTCTGGGGAAGCAGATGTGTCTCAAAATGGAACTGGAGGGCTGGGAATGTGCCCGAGTGGTAGCGTGCTTGCCTAGCATGCATGAAGCCCTGGGTTTGAGTCCTCAATACCATAGTCACAGAAAAAGCCAGAAGTGGGGCTGTGGCTCAAGTGGTAGAGTGCTAGCTTTGAGCTGAAGGGCTCAGGGACAGCGCCCAGAGTTCAAGTTCCATGACCAACTGAAAAAAAAAAGGAAGTGGAGACAGGTATGTTTCAGCGTTCCTGTGCGCATGCGCTGCACAGGAAGGCTCAGGATGGAAGGCCTGTAAGAAGGCCCAGGGTGGAACCTGTGGTGGTGGCTTGGGAATATGGCCGTGAAACCTCTTAGGGCCACCTGCTATAGGAACATGGCAGAGCTCCTGGGAGGTGTGTGTGAGGGGGGGTGCAGCTGAGGTCTAAGCTGTGTCCTGATCCTGCCCTACTCCTCCCGCACTCCCTGGAGTCTGTCCTGTTCTTCCTTACATTGCACTTCGAGGTACATGGACTGCGAGTCCTGGCCGATGGTATTGCTGGCCGTGCAGATGTACTCGCCGGCGTCCGTGTACTGGATGCTCTTCAGGGTCAGGGATGACACGCGGGCGTGGCTACGCACCACCATGTGCCCGTCCAGAGTCTGTCAGGAGGAAAGGCGCAGCGTCAGAATCAGAGTGGGGCAAAGGGCCACGGCTGGGAGACTAAGCTCGTCTGTGACCAGTCTCCCTCACCCCACCCCCCTTTGAAGTTAACATCTAATCTCACTTAATAGATTTCCTCCTAGGGAGGCCCTGGGAACACCATGGAAACCTGGGTGTACCCAAAATGGCGTGCATGGGGGCACTTAGGTATGTCAATTGGCCTGAACTAGGTGGGTGGGTTGGAGGGGGGCGGTGAAGGCAGGCTAGGTCTACCAAAGCTGTTTTGTTTGGGAGAAGTAAACGGAAACAGTAGCCCTGGCCAGCAGAAGTTCTAGCAGCAATGGCCCTGGCGCATGAGGTTTTGGGGGGAACCTTCCTTTCATCCTTTCCTTCCAGTTTCTCTACCTCCCATTCCATGGTGCATGTACGTGTACCTGGAAGTTCTAACACTCCCAATGTAGGAAACTGTGCAAGAGAAACTGACCCCCCCATCTTTTTCCTGAAGATGCCTCTCTTTCTTCGATGCTAATTTTTTTTTTAAAAAAAGGGAAACAATTCCACTTCATAAATGGAAGTGTCAACAACTCCAAGTTTAGGAGCTGTTGAACAAGGGGGACCAGAGTTCCTTCTCCAGGGACACTGGCACAGACAGGCCTAGGCAGATCTAGGAAGATAGTCACTAACATTTCCTAGTCCTGGACACTGCCATTGGCTTCCTGGGTTACTGGATGCAATCAAGAAGAGAATAAGCACACGAGCCTTAGGCACTAGGCTCTAGATTCCCTCCCCTGCTTTATCATTGTTAAGTAAAATGGCTGCTGACTCCAGTAGAGTCTAGGCATGTGGCTTTAACCCAAATCCTCCAGGGGGCTGGACAGCTGAAGATTCCTGACTCCTTAGCGGCTGGGCCACCTTCTTATCTCTAGCGTATAATGTTCTGTAAAGATGGACGGGAGGGTACTCTGTATCTGGCATCTGCCGTACATTGGGGTTTGGTCTTCAGAGAGTGAGAGGACCTCTGGGGTTCTGTTGCTTTGGAAACCTGGGGCCCTGAGTCACAACACCCTGTAGCAGATAGCCTGGGAATCTCAGAAGCAAGGCAGAACTGGCCTCGTGCTACAGTTTCACTAGCTCTGTCATAAGCAGTGCCTTTCACCCTCAAGGACAAATCTCATCCCCATCATATATCCTACCTGGAAACTAGAATGTGCTGCCCAGCAAGGGGAGAAGAATCAAGCAAAATCATCACCACCCATTGCTGTAAGCACCTCTTCTCTCTGAGATGAACACCCTGGTGTTCCCATTGGACCTGTAAGTCTAGGAGACTGGCCAGCTCTGAGAAACTGCATCCCAAGAGATGGTACCAGTTAATGCCAGCAGACAAGTGAGGAGCCCTAGCTAGAAGAGCCTTGAGACAGATACTTAGGGTGCTGGAGACCTTGTGACTCTTCTACTTGGATACTGGCAATGCTGTCAGTCGAGCCCAGTGGCTATTTTCATATGCCAAACCCTAATCTTTACCTGTCAGTAAAGATTAGGGATATCCAGAGCATGTAGCCATCGCTGCAGGTATCTGTAAAGGGCTGGCCTGATCTACTCATCATTCTATTTTCCCAAGAAAAGCAGAACGAAAGGCAGAGGAGACCTGAGGTCCATCCCTGGCCTGGGCAGCCGTGAGATGAACTATGATTGTTTGTGACAGACTGGATTTATCCTGGGGCTGCTGTACATGCAATCCTCAGAAAGCTCAGAGAATATTTCCACTTGGAAGAGAGATAAAAGAAGGTCAAGTAGGAAGGAGGGCATTAACAACAGTATTCTGTTGGGCAAAGGATGAGCAGTCTTTACTCAGAATAATCTAGAAAATGGTTAAAGAGAAGCTCAGGAAATGGATGTAGGGACAGCCAAACTCTTTTCTTTCTTTCTTTTTCTATCTGATCTCTTTCCCCAAGTTTCTCATTTACTTCTGTTGTTAGGCCAGTAGGCGGTGCTCTGTGGAGAACAAATTTGCATTTTCTGGTGGCTTGATGTAGGTTTGATAATGGAGCTAATTAGCCAGATGCCCAGTTTGGCCTTTGAGGATATGTAGATAGACTTTCTCTCTCTGAAATGTTTTACTCTTGCTTCAGGACAAAGGCAGGCTGTGCCACCCATAAGACATCCTGATCAAAAGTTATGCTGACCATGCTGGCTTCCCCAGAGGGAACAGACGAGCTCAGGGTGAGAGTGACCAAGTGTTGATGGCTCCTGCCTGCAATCCTAGCTACACAGGAGGCTGAGATCTGGAGAGAGTCATGGTATGAAGCCAGCTGTAGCAGAAAAGCCCACTGCTATAATAATCAGCAAAAAAGTAAGATTGGAGGCATGGCTCAAGTGGTAGAATATCCACTGAGCAAGAAAGCCAAGTATGTATGAAGCCCTGATAAACTGTATCAGCAATAATAATGATCATAATGATGATGATGATCATACTAACAATGATAATGGTAAAAAAAGGGAAAAAAGATCATTATGGCCAAAAGATTTTTTTTTAGGAAAAGGAAATATATCAAGCACAGTGTTGGTTAGTCTTCTCTTCTCATCCATCATTTTTGTCTCACTTCTTCCAGGTGAAAGTGTTAAGGCTTTTCAGCATTTATAGAACAAAACTGTCCATAACCCCAGCTTTCTTTGACTGTCATATGGCCTATAGTCTTCATCTCTGAACAAGACAAATAGAAGAAAATGGAACTTCTGATCCTCAATTATGTCCAAAGTGAAACATCCAAGGTAAAGTTATTTCTGGAAAATGGAGTGTGTTGGGGGTAGGGTGGGAGAGAGGGTGTTGTGTGCTTTCTTGGGAGTAAACTGGCTACTTCCACTTGTACTCACAATTCTCTTAACATCATCTTAATGCTCCCTGATAAAATTTCAGCTTTTTGCTTATATAAGTCTAGATCAGAATGACAGGGAGAAGAAGTATAAGGTAAAGCAAATGAAATCATCTGTTCTTGAGCTGCGTAAGACCCATTGATCATTCACCCTTCTCCTCTCCTTTCCCAAGCCCAACAGGGCCAACACTTTTGGGCAATAAAACATCCAGACTGTGACAGCACTGAATGATTTCTGTGTCAGGGGAGGGGAGCATTTCAGTAAGGACATGTCCTGAACTATAGTCCTTGTAGCATCAAGGGAGGTTTGTTCATGTGCCCCTGCAGATACTAATGTCCATGCCTAGGCAGGCACTCAACTTTTAAATATTAAGAATCATTAAATATTTAAAGCCTTGACCTGAACACATGCATTCTGTATTGTAGAACTAAGGATCAGTTTTTTCCCTAAATTAAAATACAGACTCTATATGACCTTCTGTGTTTATAGTTTTACAGTGTGCAGGCCTCATTTGGAGAAACAGACAAAAGCAACTTCAATTAAAAATAAAAGTCTTTGTAGATGAGATCCTTGAACTTCCTTTAAAGTAGACCACCTTTCTACTTTTATACTAACCAAGGAAAAGATGGTGGGCATGATTGGACATGGGGTCTTGGAAAGTAAGCAATGAAAATTTAAGGTTAATACTGAGTTTCAGTTGCAAACAAAGTCCCCCATTACCTAGTCAGAAGCAAGCAGGCATAGAAATTTCAAAGGCTAAAGGCTACTGACTTTATATAATATAAAGCCATTTGTACCAATCATTCCCAACCTCATCAATTTATTGCTCTATAAAAATAACAGATATGTTTAACAATTTGTGTAAACCAACAAGAGATGTCATTTGTGTTGCTTTTGAGATGAAATGTGATACGATCATTTGACCAAGACCGATTATTATAAAATAAAGTGAGCGACAAGATGAGTTGAGCTGCCAAGGAAGGGGCTGAGTGGGTTTTCAATCACTCACTTTGTGACTTTATGGTCCAAAGCCACATCTATTGTGTGAGAGTAAAGGGGTAAAAAAAATCATCATTTCAAAATGCCTGGCCTGGGAATTGGACAATTTATATTTATCAATATAATTACCTGAATGTGATTTTTTACCAGCACCAGTGAGAGAATAAGATCCCATTTTAGGATATAATAAGGATTTTGTTCATCCACTCCCAACACAGCTTGCTTGCTCGTTCTAAAAACAACTAAAACTATTACTAAGTAAGGTCTAGCACTATGGTCCTATTCCGTAATCTAACCAACGTACTAATTAGTTTAGCATGTCTGGTTATTCACTGTAATGATGAGTTAACGCTGCAATGCTTTCAAAACTAAAGACTGGCTAGTGGTCAGGTAAGCTATACCTCTTGTTTCTCTGGTCGAGTCCACGAAGCCTGGAGAGAACAAGATATAAAACACAACAAGAGAGCAGTAAAATTTTACAACATGTTGCTTCAGAGAAGTGATGCACTATACTGCATTCCGTGCACATGCAGCTGCTTTTCCATTTTGAACTGTTTCTAAGGCCCACTTTCCGTAGTGTGTTTGTTACCCGATTTAATCAAGGCTTTAGATTACGTTCAAACCTCCCCCCCCACTAATGAACATTATCTCGTGTAATTCCAAGATAAAGGGATTCCTCATCTTTGGTAGATATAGATACCAGAAAACAGCAGATATATTTTAGACTTCTTTATAGTGATGTTACTAGTTCTAGCCACATATTCTAAAAGTACTAACAGAACAAATTGCTTCCTTTGAATTTTATTCATCAGCTTACCACAGATAGACGAATACCATTTTATGCTCATGCATTGTATTACTGCATGCATTTTATAAAAAATAAGTTTTTTATTTTTTAAAAAAGGAACAAAGCAAGGAGCAGAGAGGTACATTAGGAATGAGAAGGATGACGTCTCTAAGGATACCAAATGCCCAGGGGCTATGGTAAGCTCCACCCCTTCAAGGCAGGCACTGCTAGATGGCTCACAGGCTGGAGCCTGTTCCATTGTCATTCGACATAGCATTCTCCAGGAAGAGACACTTAGATGGAGAGTTTTCCACTCACAACTAGATTTTTTTTTGCCTACTC